GGGTTGTATAATTAAGCAAATGAAGCGCTCTTCCTATGATATGCTCCGCTCAACTATGGAAAAAAATATTACGTTCGGAGTTCGAACCTAAGCTGCATTCGCTTAGATTCACTGGTGATCGTTTTTTTCCTCTCCTCCGTTATTTACTCCGTTATTTACTTCTTTAGTCTCGAAAAAAAATATCACTATTATTTACTTCTTTAAGCGAAATAAAGTGTTATAAAAATAATATCAAATTTAGGTCTCAGTTTGGTAAATACATAGAAGTTGTGTTGTATGCATGTAAATTTCCCTTAAAACTATTGGTCGTCCTTCTTTGCTGGGCCCTTAATTTTTATTTAAAAAATTTTAAAATAAAGATTAAAATATGTACCTGATGGGCCTTGAATGGGCTGCAGTACAAATAAGGGAGCAGTGTCCAAATGAAATAACAAAGGGAGCAGTGTCCAAAATACGACTACTATAATAAGTGCCTGTAAATATTAGCTCAATTATCGGAGCAGTGTCCAAAATACGACTGCTATAATAAGTGCCTGTAAATATTAGCTCAATTATCATTAATGAACGCACCACCTTCTCCTGCCATCGCAGAGAAAACGAAAGTTCGTATGCTTGTGATTTTCTAAAGTCCATTTTTAGGCCCCACTCGGACATGACAATGTTCTGTAGAGATTCAACAGCGTAATTATAAATGTTTTTCTTTTTTTTTTTCTTAAATTCTGCTTTAAAATTATGGGATTATTGCGTGATGAAAAATTTGTGATAGTTTATGTCTAAATGTTAAACGAAGATCAAATACATACAAGAATAAATAAAAATAAATATTTTTACGTGAAAAAATCCTGAAAGAGAAAAGGTCACGAGGCCTAACCTAGACAAGACATCCGCTACTTGTTCGTAGTACATATGTATTTTTTTTATGAACTTGATGAAATTGTGATGCTGATATTATAAATGTATAATAATACTTCAATTATAATAGTCATAATTGTGCTACAACAAATATAATTGATCATGAAGGTTGTAGTCAGTTGCTACAATAAAGATAATTGGTTACATATGTTGTTTTTAGAAGTTGTAACAGTAGTGGTTGGCCACAAATATAATAGTTGATTGTCGCATGGGCAATAGTTGGAAACAAAGGTTATGGTTGGAAGTTGCAATATCGATAATTGGCCATGGACAACGTAGTTGATGTCTGTAATAGTGTCAGTTGGACACAAAGACAGTTGTTGGAAGCTGTAATAGTAGTAGTTGGTCGTAAAGGTAGTAATTGGTGAATGTAATATCATTAGTTGGCCACATATATGGTCGTAGTTGATGATTGCAATAGCATCTGTTTGCCACAGGCCATTGTTTGAAGTTATAACAACGGTATTTGCCCACATAAGCCGTACTTGGTGATTGTAATAGTGTAAGTTATCCAAAAAACTCGTAGTTGGAATTTATAGTACCAGTTGGAATTCATAGGCCATAGTGAGGAGCTTGACCTCTTCTCTAAGAACAAGATTGTAGTTTTATACTTGACACTCTATTTGTAGATATGCTTTGTACAGAAAGATACATATTTTAGGAACAATCTCCGTATTCTAGCTATGATAGTCGTAAGCAATGGCCGTCTAAGGCCGGTTGTCAGTGATGGTAGGTGGTGATAATCGATGTTGGTCGATCATGAACAGAGGCTTTGAAGGTCGAAAGTTATCGTCGAGTCTTCAATACGGGTGTTACAGTCATATGTGAGATATGATTTTTTTGCAAGCAGAGGTTTTTAGATGCAGGAGGTCGATGGTGGCCTACGAGCGGTGTTCGAAGGTGGTTGGAGGCTAGAAGTTATATTTGGGTCTTCAATATAGCGCTATACGTTATGATCAAATTTGGGAAATGATGTAAACGAGCAAAAATAGCCAACAATCAGTGATTGACGATGGTCTGCGACTACAGAGGTCAAAAGTTATATTTGGGTGATCAATACGACATTATACATCGGCGAGCGAGGGCGACCCAACAACGACCAACAATCAGTGATTGACGATGGTCTGCGACAACAGAGGTCAGAAGTTATATTTGGGTGATCAATACGACATTATACATTAGAACTATATTATAGATATGACGTTAGAAAGCAGGGGTCGCCGATGTGACCAGCAAAGGCAACCAACGATAGACAATGGCAACCAACAAGTGATGGTTGTTGGTGCTCGACGGTTACGGAGGCTTAAAACTATCGCTGAATTTTTAATACGATGTTATACATTACAACCATATTTGGGATATGGAGTTAACATTTATGGGTTGCCAACGATTCGAGGTCGACAACAACCAACAGGTAGTGGTTGACGACTGCATATACCAGAAGTTATTGATGAGACTTTAATACAATATTATACATTACAATACCGTGTTAGCAAGTAGGGGTCGATGACAGTGGAGAGCAAGGTGTTAGACGATGGTCGATGACAACCGACGAGCGGTGTTTGACAATCGACAGTGGAGAGCAAGGTGTTAGAAATTTTTTGACGAACCGACGAGCGGTGTTTGACAATGGTCGATGACAACCGACGAGCGGTGTTTGACAATGGTCGGCGGGTATGGATGCTAAAATTTTTTGACGAACCTTCAATATAACGTTATACGTTACGACCATATTTGGAATACAATGTTAGGGTTTAGGAAGCAGGGGTCATCTATGAAGCTGATTAGAGTGGCCTGCAGTAATTGATGTTGGCCAACGAGCAGACATCAACGGTGGTTGGCGGCTATGATGGTCGAAAGTTAGTCAGATCGTTAGTTGAAAATAGGCGGTTAAATTCCTTCTCTTCTTCTCTCATCTCAAGCGAAGAAGGGGAGTCTATTTAAGGGATCTATGAGAAATGTAATTTAGTCCATTGGAAAATAATTTTCTAAACCACTTGATCAGACGACCCATATTGATCCCCTTTCTCATAAGATTTTTTTAATGATTTGTGGGCCTTAATGACCTTAAAATTAAGCTAGGTTAGGCTCGTCAGATTCCACACGGCAAGATGCTCAATTTGAATATATATTCGTCAGATTCCACAGGTCGAGACACTCGATTTGAATATATATATAGGTAAGAGTAGTAGGTAGGTATATAGGTAGTAGTTGTTGGTTGTAACATCGTTAGTTGGTCACATGAAAGATCATAGTTGGCGATTGCAATAACATCTATTTGCCACAAATACCATATTTTGAAGTTGTAATAGTAGTATTTTGCCATAGACCATAGTTATTGACTATAACTGTGTAAGTTAGCCACAAAAATTGTAGTTGAAATTTATACTAGTGGTTGGCATTATATGTCATAGTGGGGTCACCTACAACGGGCGGTGCTTGATAGTGGTCGACAACCATGAAGGCCAAAATTTATCGCCAAGTCTTCAATACAATTACATATGTTACGACCATATTTGCAATATAAGGATAACAAGCAGGGTCACCTACAATGACGTTAGGGGCCCATAGTGGTTGACGGTGGCTGACGTCGTCGTCGGCGGTCATCAGTAGGGGTGTAAACGAACCGAACACGAACGAACAAAGTTTGTGTTCGTGTTCGGTTTGTTTAAAATTTAGTTTGTTTGAAATAAGCTCATGTTCGTTTCTTAACGAACGAGCCGAACACGAACCGAACACGAGCTGTTCGCGAACAACGGGCCAGTTTGACATCCCTAATATTAATATATAAAAATAATATTATATATTAATTATATAACTTATATTATATAAATATTCAATATCTATATTAGTATATTACTACTATAGTGCATTAATATATTATTATTATTATTATTTTATTATATATTATAATTTACAAAATTTAATGTTTTAAAATATAATAAATTTTTTATATATAATTATTTTATATTATTTTATATTTCAAACAATAACGATTAATATAAGAATAACAAGCAGGGTCACCTACAATGACGTTAGGAGCCCATAGTGGTTGACGGTGGCTGACGTCGTCGGCGGTGGTCATCACTCATCAGCTATGGTATTTGAAAGTTATAGTCAAGTCTTTAGTCTAAAACAGACTCCGAAATTCCTTGTCTTCTTCTCCCGCTCTCAAGTGAAGACATGAGGTATATTTAAAAGCTCTAAGATTTAATTTTCTCATTTTTTTTCATTTAGCTAGATTTATTAAAAGATAATAATAATGTAAATCCTGCTCCAACCCAACTACCAAACATCGCCTGAAAAAATCATTCATTTAGGAAAAAAAATCAGCATGGGCTATTCGATATAACACTTTGTTGTGTTTCTCAAGATAACTGATGACCTCATTCACAATCATGTAGAATGTTACGTGAACGATTTGGTTACGTTATCACCAATGACAGTAAAAACATAGCCAACAATAACCAAAATGTTGTTCTCATAGAACATTGATTGAGCATCATTCCTTACATCAAAAGGGGGATAGACTTAAAATCAGAAGATTCTCGGGGATCTAAAGCTCTTAAGTTCTGCCCAATGACTGACGTTGATGATTATTCTTGACAACTACCAACGCTCAATAGTCACCGCTCATTCATTTTTAGATTTTCGTTATTTCCCGATTGTCATTATCAGATTAGTATCGTCATTATATGTCCGTCAATTTCTGATATTGGCCGCCATGCCACCCTCACACTTCTATCGTTGCTTATTTATCAACTATCGGTGTCTGACCATCACCTCTAAATTACCAAAACATTGCTACTCAAATATCGAAGGTTGTGACAAAAGCCTAATCTTTATTTTTCATTTTCTTTAAGATTTACAATGATTTGATGGTGACACGGGTGAGTAAAAATATGAGTTTTGTAGTTTAAAAAGTTATCTAATTTGCATAAAAACTTGATTTTTAAATAGCAATGTTTCTTATTCTGTCTGTGCAATTACTAATTATGCCTAGAAAAAATAGTCGGGGGGCATTCTCATAAAACATGTTGAGAAAATTAATTGCAGGAACGGATCCATGCAGTTTTGAAAATAACAAATTACAAATGGAGATCAAGGCTCACACCATCCTTATAAACACTCTTCCCAGAAGGCGGCGGCGCCATATTCCAAGGTGAGTAGAACCGAGACGCAGGATGACTGAAAGGGAGGCGGCTAGTTGCCGCCGCCGCCGCCGATCCAAAACTGTGGGAGCCAATCAGGCCGAGCATGTGGGCCCGCTTCGCCTTTTGGCGCTCCAGCTTGTGGGCGTTCTGGTGACCTCCGAGAGCTTGGGAGGTGGGGAAGTTACGGCAGCAGTAATGGCATTCGAATTTCTTTCCGGCGGTGTCGGCGGCGGCGGCGTCGGCGGCGGACAGAGAATGGTCGGTGGCGGTGGAGGAAAAGTTGAAGCCGAAGAGACGGAAGTTGGGAGCTTTAGGCTGCGGCGGCGGAGGGCGGCTGATGAAGGGGAGTTGGGAGAAGGAGTCAATGGTCAGGAAAGATTGGGGTTTTCTGTCGTTCATTTTTTGGTTGTTTTTAAGGTTTTTGGGGAGGGGAAGGGAGAAGGAAGGAGAGCTAAGAGATAATAGTCAGATAACAGAGCTGCTGTATACTGCTAACTACCATGTTTCTCTCTCTAGATTGATGATCACTTTGGGAACTCTGTGGTCTCTGCTTGCTCTGCTTTCTTCTTTATATAACTAGCTATCATGCATTGTAGCTATCAGTGCAGGACAGACTTTGTCTCTCCACATACTTCACATACTCTCTCTCTCTCTCCCTCTCTCTCTCTCTCTCTCTATCAATGCCTATATGAGTGAATGTCGAAGGATATGGAATTGGCTAGGTTGAGGGATTCTTTAATTCAGATGGAGGCTTTATATCTGGCTGAGGCCTCAGAGAGAGAGAGAGAGAGAGAGAGAGAGAGAGAGAGAGAGAGAGAGAGAGAGAGTGGTCCTTGTGGGTGGGTTTCAATATTACTCCGATGGGGAAAAGTGGACCTTGCTCTGTTTTTTTAGTTTTTACCACGTCTCCCATTCTATCATTTGCTATGATTTAACTTGAAGTTACTATTATAGCCTTGCTCTAGAGGATCGGATCAAGCCGATCTGATCGACCAATTCAATTGCGAACTATTGATCAGTCTAGTCTGAATCATAGAAAAGTGTCCATTTTGATTTTGAGCAGCCTAGAACCTGTGGGACCACTGATCAGCCATGCGGTACAACCAATTTTGTGTGATCTCAAGCGGCGTGAGGGCGATGCATTATGGCGTAGGAGCGCTGCTTTTGCATAAGCTCGTGTTACAGAGCTTTGCTGCCTTTGAGATCCTGACAAAATTCTTAATTGTTTTTAGTTTATTCTTTTTTTTTTATATTTTCCATTCCCACATCATTATTTTATAATTTAGAACATTTTTATTTAATATTTATAGTTATTATGTCATCCGATCCAACCTAATTGAACCAATCAACATTGAACTTTTATTTCTTCCAGTTTGATGTTCAGTCCAACTTTTTAAAACCATGCCTTTATTTTTTATCCTTTATTATTTAGGAGTGATGAGCATGGAAGGGCAATTTTATTAGTTGCTAATTGTTAATTAGTTTGGATTCTTATTTGGAGGGCAAACAACTACTTTTGTTCTAGACTAAACTAATATTTCTTCATATTGACCTCTTGGCCTAGTAATATGTTATTCAATTCGAGGGATCTCATCATATAGCATTAAAGGCTTGGTTTCTTAGGCATTAACTCTCTTGTAAAGTTCTAGCTAGTGTTTAAAGTCTGTTGTCTTTCAAAATCTTGAATTATCTTGACTGATTAATTTTACTATTTTTGACCCCAATTTGATTTTTTTTAAAAAATAAAATGTTGCACTCATCATAATATACTATTGATCATGATTTAGAGCGATTTAAATAGGTTTAAAAGCAAGCTATTATTCTAGATGATTCATCACAAGAGTCTAAAAGGTACCTAAGTATCTACTTATCTTAATGAAACTCCATGAAGACCAACCTTTTTGATCATAAATCCGTCTCAACAACACGTAGTTTTTATTATTTTAGGTCATTGGTAGACTTTTAAAGAAATCCATAAAAATATTCTCTCATTAGTCATGACCGAATCAAACGTAGGAATATATAATTCTTCTCTTTTTAGGACTTTAATATATGTTAAAGATATAAGATAATGACATTGAATTTGAAATCTCATGACTTGCATGACCAGTCAATGCCATAACATGATTCATCAGTACCATCATACTACAAATATAGATATTATGTAATAGATTATATATCAATCAGGGCTTTTAGAGAAGCATGATCAAGTAGAAAGTGAAATAGAAGACTAGAACATTTTGCTTAATCAAAATTTGAAAGTCTTCCAAACACCTCTCATCACATTAAATTGTCTAGAGCTTATTCTATTTAAAAAAAAAAACATCCATTTAAGACTCTATAAAACTTCATATGTATATATATATATATATATATATATATGCATAATTTAAATATATTATTGAATCAAATACATCAGTAGTGCACCAACATGCATGGCCCATGCCAATAGGGACATATCATAAGGTAGACAAAGGGCCTTCGCATATGTCAATGGAGAGGTTTAGACAAGCTTAATTTGTAATTTGTACAGATATTTCTGTAAGGAGTATTTATATATATATGGACTGAAATAGATGGCTAATGGGTTTGAAGGAATGCATTGATCACTTTCAGCTTTGTTCCCTCCTTCAGTTCTTCCTCACCAAAGGCTGGCTTTAAATAGCAAATCAAATTTATTGGTGATGTGTAACCCTAAACTACTACAAGTTTGGTCTTTGTTGTCATTTTTTTTTTTTGCTTTGAAAGAGAGCCTTACATGGTCCAACATATGTTCTCCCTCTCTCTCTCTCTTCTCTCTCTCTTTCTATCTCTTCTCTCTCTCATGTGTCTCTCTTCTCTCTCTCTCTTTCTATCTCTTCTCTCTCTCATGTGGAGAGGTAAAGAGCTTGCTATAACCGAAGGACCACAGATGAGAAAAGAGAGAGAAGCGTCAATTAGATTATGAGACAGGCAAAAAGAGTTGTATACAATGTTGCTTTCCATTGGCCAATGGAAAAGTTGAGGCATTGAATAGTTATTTTCTCATGCATGTTACTCTTATCACTCTACAGCTGTCATGATTGCTTGTGCTCTCTCTCTCTCTCTCTCTCTCTCTCTCTCTCTTTAGAAATCATTTACATAAATAATACCCAATTCTATCCCATCAAAAAATCATTATATATATATATATATATATAATATACACCCACCAACAAATTTTCATCATTAGACATGAATCTCAATACGTGGTATGAATCTCGAGATAATTTTTAAGCAAGAAGCATTGAAAATTCAATCTGAAGGCAATAAACTTATAGTCAAACTGACCAGCTAGACAAGACGAACCAAATGACACTAATGTTGACCCAATAATGTCAAATTAAGCTATTAATCTATTTTTGGAAGTTTATATTGCATGTATGGGAGGTCAAATAGATTCTAAATCTGACAAGCTTATGAAAAAATTCAAGAGTCTCGACAAGAATAATCCAACGGTGTCCAAACCATGATCACTCAATTTGGGCACCGTTAACGCACTTAGATATCTACAAAATATTATCTGATCGAGGAAATTTCTCATGGATGTATGATGGAGTTAACTAAATTTTGTTCTTATTTGAAGGGATGACTCTCCCAGATTCTATAAATAGAGTTTTACTCCTAGCTTCATGAAATAACCTAGATTGTGAGCCGGACAAAAACGTGAGCTTGGAGGAGGATCATGAAGAGAAAAAGTCGAAATCCATTATTTTACACCAAAGATAAAGTAAATGCTTCCCTCTGCTTCCATGGCCTACCACTATTAACAATCGCTTCGCCAGTCGGTTGTTCTGGCCTTGTCTAGGCCTATCGGGCCATGAAGCCAATACTGCTCAACTATCTGTCGCTCATGCCTGCACCTCCACTTGACTCAGCCAGCCCGCCAACCGCCGCTAACGATTTGACCTACTCTAGCCGGCCAACACAATTGTCGTCAATGACCTAACGTGGTTTTACTAGCCCGTGCACATGCCGCCCTAACTTGGTCATGCTACCACCCAACCAGGCCCCTCACCGTCACCTGTCGCCGTTGACCGCCAAATTTTTAATGCTTTTTTAAATTTCATTTTATTGATTATATGAAGTAAATCAACTGAATGCATCATCAACTAAATTTATCAGTTGAAACAAATCATGAGGCATTTGACTTTGATCTCGAGGCATTTTTTAGCAAGAAATGTTCCATTTCATATTAAAATTGATCAGGAGCTTTGATTTCATCAAAATTATAAGTAAACTCAATGGTTTAGTTGAGACCAACTCAATGATATCAAAATTAATTCAATCCTGATCAAATCAAGCTTAGATCAATTCATTAAACCGCTTTTTGTTGATTGCTTAAATATATATGCCTACCTGACATTTGTCTATCATGCATATATTTGTATATTCTGATATATGCATGAAAAGATATATTTCTCTTTTAAAGGTGAAATAAGGTTGATATTTTTTATGTGATATCAAAAACTTGAGTGTTATAAATATAAAAAAATAAAGCTTTGTTATATTTAATTATGTAAATGCTTAAATATAATAGCCTCAAGCCATTCCTATATATATATATATATATATGCATGTAGAAATGAAAATTTAAGTCGTAGAAATGCAAATACATAAGAATTGGATGGCAATTATGTTAATTTTTCTGTAAGATCTTAAGGGTTGGGTGTTCTCAGCTTGCATCATTAAAAATAGGTAAGAGTCCCATCTTAATGGAATATTTCTTTTGGACTGATGAGACTTTCAAGTCAGTACCTTTCTGTACCTAAAGGAAAATAAACTATGTTATTAATGCACTCTTTTGGAAATTTAAATTTCGCATATATATATATATATATATATATATACATGGATTGATAAAAGATCCGTTTGGGGCAGCTTCAGCTTATTAAAAAACAAATTTAAAACTATTCAAAAGTAGTCCAACATTTAAAAAACATCAGTGGCAATTACAATTTTTTTGATTTTCTTAAAAAAAGTCAGATTACAACTAGAAAGATGTCATCACTTGGGGTGTGAACGAGCCGAACACGTGAGAGCCCAAACTCAGCTCGTGTTCGGCTCGTTTATATTTTGAATTGATTATAAATCTTTTTAGCCCTGTTGTCAATTAAGCTTTTAAAAAACATGGGTTGTTCACGAACAAAGAGTTGTTTTGACAACCCTATCGGCTCGTTAACTTAGTGAATGAGCCTAACACGAGCTTCTTAACGGGCAAGATTTAAAAAATATTACTTATATTAAAGCATCATTTGAATCTAATTTAATAATAAAAAAACGAGCTGTTTTGACAGCCCTAGTCATCACCCCTAGCCAGGGCTGTTGAGAAAACATATATTTCAATGAAAAAATTTAAAACAAGCTGTTTTGACAGCCCTAGTCATCACACCTAGCCAGAGCTGTTGAGAAAACATATATTTCAATGAAAAAATTTAAAAAAACCGTCAAAACGCAAATTACCCAAACAGACAAAACTGCGGTGCAATACCGCACTACCACCCAAAAAAGACCCGAAATGTCAATTTTTCCCCCACAAAATTTAAATGAAAACAGACCATTTGCTTATGAGAAGTTAGATTTGCTAAAAAAGCAATGCAACATAAAATGAATGCAATCTAGAAGTAATGCATTGTATTTGGAATTCTTTAGAATTGTTCGATTTAATGAAAAATAAGTGAATTGACTTTATTTGTTCTTTTAATTTGAAGGAAAATTAAAATAATGCATTTAAAAAATAATGCATTAGATGGTGGCGGCAAACGACAGAGGTTGTCGACTATGGCAGACATTTACATGCTTACAACTCAATTTTTATGTTTTTATATATCTTATAAGTCTAAACTTTACTTTTTTTTTAGACTTATACCCCTCAAATCTTTCATATCGCATAAAAATACCAGCTTTTTAACATCTAAAATTGAATCATACATTTCATGCATAGGTGACACTGCACATCAAAAATTGAAGTGTAGGTATAGATATGTAAATATAAAGTTTATTACTTTTGCAAACTAGGGGACCATAGCATGCATGTCTTGTGACTACTGTCCTTGAGCATTAATTTGGAACATGTATCCTGTGTGCAATGGCTTAATTGTTCTTGATTTTATGATATGGAGTTCTACTGTACGTTGACAGACATGTGGCCACAATTTATTTATTTATTTATTTATTTTAAACTAAGAGTTTAATTTATCATATTGTTAAATATTATTCAATTTTTTTTATATGTAACATAGCATAAAATCATTTTTCCTTTTTTAGACTAGATATGTTGCTTAGTGTTTCATTCCATCTTATGCAATATGTTTCATTCCATCTTATGAAAGGTATCAATGGTGATATTAGACTTTGCCATAGAATTCTAATTGTCACTAATGAAGTTTGTTATGAAATTTTGTGATAATTGGACACTAATTTGAAAAAAATTCAGAATTAAGTGAGCCAACATCAATAGGTCACATCAAAATGCAAGCCCAAAGCCATAGTAGAAATTGAAAAGTAAAGCAAATCAGAATGAAGATAGGTGCATGGAGCCTAGAAGGTAACATGAAGGCTATATGAAAGGCAATATGTAAATCCAAGAGATTTAGAAGTAGGGGCATTCACATACATGCTACACAATTCCTATGTATTTATTATTTACATATCAGGTACCTATGTCAGATATTGTAATTATTGTATTTGTTGTTCAATCATTTAAAATTTTGCTCATCCTAAAGAGGGGCTAATTCTGCCTCTGAATTAACTTTTGAATAACAATAATAAAAAATGTCTGTGTGTGTGTGTGTGTGTCCCAACCTCAGCCATGGTCTCAGCCATACGACACCTTGAAATTAAGCATAATGTTTACAAGGTACAAATCAATTATCAAGTGGGCTAAAATTGCGCCACACAGTGTGTACTAATTGGACAACTGAACTGCCAATGGCATGAAACCATAGTACATTTGGTAAGATGATGAGTTTGGATCTATGCTCTTTCCACATAAAGCATTTTCAAAATGTTCAATGCATCCTATTAATTTTAATCATATCTACAATCAAATCAAGCTATATACTTTACACACAGATACATATATATATATATACTAATCCAAATTTGAATCATTTGAAAGTTGATTCAACATAGACATAATTTAATAACTTTTGCTTAAGATGATGTAAGATTTTTTTTTTTTCATAAATGTCATTATTGTGTGATGCATATGCTCTTAAAGTGCTACGTTTATGGAGCAAAGAGCTAAGTTGTTTGGTCGGCCAAAAAATAATGCAATATAAAATAAATAAAATACAGGAATAATATGTTGTATTTGAAATATTTTAAAATTGTTTGATTTATTGTAAAATAAATAAATGACTATATTTTTTTTTTCTTTTGGGAGTAAAATGAAAAGAATGTATTTCACGGCGACAAGGATTTTCCTCAAATAGGCATTCTGCCCCTCAGTTGCGTTGGTTGGCCTGGCCAAACCGCCGATTGGTCTAGTAGGGTCTAGAAGGTCCAGACCGGTCTTAATTGGACTAACTTGTCGTCTACAGTCAATCCCTTCGGCTTTCCCGCTACAACGGTTAGGTAAGGGCGTATCAGATTCTTGTTAGAAATTCATATTAAATTGTATCTTTTTTTATTATTATTTTTTCAAATTGTCATGTTCATTTTGGATTAGTTTGATAACACAAAGTGTGTGTATGTGTGTATTATCTAGCTAAATTTAATAGGGTCTGATAAAAGTTGAGACTTTTGACCCAACGCAGGCCGTTAACTTAATTAACACCACCATATGTTTCTAGCTACACCAAGAGCAAACAAAATTACAAACTTTGCTTTGTTCCACCAACTTATTTTCTCAAACTCCTATTCTTCTAAAATAGTTGTGCTTTTAATTTTTCTCTTGTTTTTTCGTAAATTCTTCAATTGCCAAGCAAATCAACAGCCATTGCCCATTCCTATTTATTTACATGATGTACACCTAAATTTTACTTTTGGCATTTGTACCACTCAAATATTCCATATCATGTCAAAAATACCATCATTATAACTTTAAAAAAGTGAAACACACATTTTCATGCGTAGGCAGGGTGGTATGCACGTAAAAATTGAAGTTTTAGGTGTTGGATATCTAAATACATATGAATTAAGTGGCGTGTATGTGAATCTTCCTCTTTATTTTTGGGGGCAGTGTGAGCGCTCAAATCCGAAAACTCAACATTCGTTACTTCGTTCACAACCAATATGGCATAGATTCAAACATTCCAACTCCTTAAGCTTGGTCTACCTACCTGAATAAATGTAGCTAAGCTAGTTTACTCTAAAGGCATATGATAGTCTAGATGTATACACTAACTACGTATTATTAGTATTCCTTCATAAATTCGTTAAATGAATTACAATTGTATTATTAAATCGATTCCGAATAGGTTCAAATTAGGTACCCTACAAATTAACAGTTCCCAGCCCAGCCCTAATGTTATGATAAAAGAAGCCACTAAACCAACACTACAAATTTGTAAGCCATTTTGATTGGCGCAAGAAATACAACCTAACAGACCATCACAAACTAGGGGAACAGACCAAATATTATAAATATTTCATGACAAAAATTATGGATGATGGGGTTCATATAACTCTAATATCTATACATGGATTATAATGTAAAATTTGTCTATATTCATTTAAATTTAGAAACAAGAAAAAAGGGGGGCATTTACATACATACCACCCAATTCCCTATGCTTTTACATATCTAACAACTAAATTTTGCTTTTTTTATACTTATACCACCCAAATCATTCATATCACAGAAAACATGCAACCATTTTAACTTTTTAGAAGTGTAATCAACCTTTTTCACGCGTATTGAAGGTGGTATGTCTGTAAAAATTTGAAGTTTAGGTGTTAGATATGTAAATACTTAAAGAAAATAAAAAAGGAAAAGAAGGAATTGAACATAACCAGAAACTGGGCGCATTTAAAGGATCAGGTTGACTTGTCATCCAGGCTGGGAGAAGTAGGGTCTCCTTCAATGTATCTGGTGGCCTGTGATATCACATAATGGGATGCGCTCCACGAAGCGTAATAAGAAGACACAGAGAGTTGAACGTATGCTGGGACAGCATATGCTGCAGAAAAAACAAAAGTAAAAAATCTTAAATTTAACCCAAAAAAATTTGTCTGGAATATATTGATCCAATTTTTTCTCATAAGAGTTCTCAAAGCATTAGATTTATATAAATAATCAATTGAAATTTACATTGGACTCAACTCAAATCAAATTTAATAACTTTTGAGATTATTATGATAAAATTTTAATTCACATATTCAATCCATAATTTTGTCTATTTCTCAAGAAGAATCATAATATTAGAATGAATCAGTCAGTAATAACAGTAGTAAATTGGAGAGAAGCAGGAGTGCCTAAAGATATTGGCAATATACAAAAATTGACTCAACTAACAAGATCCAAAAACTTGTTATTTTACAAACATTGTAATATAATCTTGGGGCATTTACATACATGGCACCCAAAACTTCTTATATTACAAATTTCACACCTAAACTTATCAATTTACATTTAAAGCACCTAAAACATTATCTCCTAAAAAATAACACTTTCCATCAAATCCATTAATGCCAGTGCCCTTCTTCGTCGAGTTACCAAAACAACTAGATGTAGTCGCATATATAGCTAGCTAGCAAAGGCAATGACGCGATCGCAGCCTCCAAAGACCACCGAAACTCCCATATTTCTCTTTCTATTCCTACCCGAAGCAACTGAAGATGGCAGCCCTGTCTTTCTTCCTCTTGTGCGGTTTACTAAGAAAGGCAACCGGAACTTGCATTTTTTTCCATTTCTAAGGGAAAAAAAAACCATTCCAAGTAACTCCCATCTTTCTTCTTCAGCTCCTACCCGTGTTTTTTCTCTCTCCCCCCATTGGTCCCCTTGTGATGGAAAACGGGAGGGGAAGGGCACCGGCGTTAATGTTTTTGATGTAAAGAGTTATTTTTGAGGAGAGAAAATGTTTGAGGTGTTTTAAATGTAAATTGATAAGTTTTGGTGTGAAATTTGAAAAATAAGAAGCTTAGGGTGCTATGTCTGTCAATTCCCCATAGATCTAATTGGAATAAAGATGTTGTAGCTGAAAACCCTTAGGTCATTAGCTCCTATTTCATATACTAGTTGGGCTCAATCATAAGAATCTTCAATATTACCAGCATACCTTTGAGGCTCACATTTCTATATTAACAAGTATCAATTCATTTTTTATGGCATTTGATCGCATGCATTAGCAAGAACAATAAAGTTCATTTGAAGGCTCTTTCCTTTTCTCTGGATATAAAGATCCCTTTCAAAGAAGACTTTGTTTTAATGAAACCAAAGTATTCTAAAAAACCAATCTGATTTCTTCTCTGTCTATCACATTACACTCTACCAGCTATTTATTGTAGGGCTCTCTCCCCCAACACAAACTCCCAGCGTTGTACTACAAAATTTTCTAAGCCCAATAAAATTCCCATGTTTTTCTTTGCCTTTTAAAAGTGATTCTTCCATAGTAACCATTAGTACATTCTCGCTCCACTATTGAGTCTCTTAAATTTATTTATAGACAGCCTGAAACATCAACTTTTCTTCGCCCTTTAAAAGTGATTCTTCCATAGTAACCATTAGTACATTCTCGCTCCACTATTGAATTCTCGCTCCACTATTGAGTCTCGCTCCACTATTGAGTGTCTTTAATTTATTTATAGAGAACCTGAAACATTAACTAAACTGTCATAAACATTATTCTCTTCCATCATACAAAATATGGTGTATAAACATATCATATAAATAGATGATAACTGATCATTTGATTTTTTTTATTTATTAAAATACTGTAAAATAGTATTCAAAATGATGGCGAATATCAGATGGTTCTTCGGCCATATGAGCCATGTAATGATATGTAGGCACACATACATTGTACAGAATTTTCATGTCCAATATAGAATGGGTTGAAAATTGTACTTAATACCTTCAAAATTATTTTCAAATTTCAAATTATACAAACATATATTACATTTAAAAGCTTAAATATTTAAAATCTAGTAATAAAAAAATTTTAGAGCCAAAACTTAATAAAAAACTGCTGAGAACTGAAACTTTCATAGCCGAACTTTGTGCAGTGTAACTAGTTTTTATAAAATACATGTTCAAACATCTGCTTAAAATTGCTTAGAAAAAGGATCTATCCCAAAAGTATAGAATGCTGCAATCTGGCTAGAGCCGCCTCATTGTTCTCTCTGTTATAGCCTAACATAAATTATTATTTATAAAAAACATTTCTCAGCAAGTTAAAGTAGTGGCCTTCAATTTGTAAGCCATTTTTAACAACTTCAGGAATTCTTCATATTCCAGAAAACCAACAGAAGTGCTTCATTTCCAGATCATTGATTTTTTTTTCTTCAATTATGTAAATTTCATGTTGCACACTACCACAAGGTCCATTATATAATATCAGAAAAAAAGTGAAATGGCTATTTAAAATCCCAAGCATCTAATAAGAAAATTTCATTTCCATAATAGTAAGTAGTTTACCTCCAAATGCAGCACAAGCTCCAGAAAACAAAAGAAGTGGGGGAACCTGTCAATGAAAAAGACATCTAGAATACTCACAATGATAACAATGAAATAAAACTTAAGAAAAAGAAAATAGCAAATTAAATGAAATTTCATAACATAAATCACAAAAATCAAAATAATTCCACATGTCAAAGAAGAGAGGTTGTGGTTTCCAACTTCATGATTTACATTTTTATTCAACTAAACAAATTATATCGACAATTAGATGCAAGCACACATACCTTATGGTGCACGCAAATGCTAAAATAGATAATTTGTGAAAATCTCAAATACTGATAGGAATGGTGAATAAGAGGCCTTAGTACCATGAAACAAGAAACTAAATATCAATCATAGATGGCTGGAAACTTCACCATGAAACAAAAAACTAAATATCAATCATAGATGGCTGGAAACTTCAAATATTATGACAATCTTGCAAAATTTTATACATCGTTCAAAAAACATTGGGATAATTATCAAATAACAATTTCTAATTTGAGACAAGCATGATTTAGATAGCAGCGTGGAATGTGAATATGCTCCAATTGCAAACATATACAGGTGATACAGGTAAATAACACAATCTACCATTGTTATTTCCTTAGAATTCCCATTGCACCAGCCGTCCTGAAAGAAAAGTAGACGATGCTTGACAGAAAATTCAAGATTTGTCTTCAAAATCATTAGAATTGTTGAAGGGGAAGAGTTAAAACCTAAAAATATGAAGTTCATCACTTTTAAAAGGGAGAAAACCTTGCAAGATTAAATTTACAAGAAAAACAAAAATCAATAAAAAAAAGATTTTCCGGCACAGAAATCAATTATTTTATCATTAACTGACATTAACTGGAGCCACATCCTCAAGATCAAGCATATCAATATCGACCTGTCTTTTCTCTATTTGAATGGCATAGAGAAATGCATTTGTTTAAGTTATGGAGACAAAATGATTTCTTTTTAAAATCACTCCAACATATTCAAAGAGATTATATTTTGTTGTAATTTATCATCTAATATGACAAGTCAGCTGAACTAAAATCATCCTGATCCGATTATGAAGGACAGGAATATAAAAATCAATAAATTTAATGGCTAAAACCTGGGGTTATGGAAAATACAACTTGAAAACATTATGTATCAAAGAAAGCTCCATCTAATGTTGAAAGGAGTAAGACTTCGGGCAGTAGATCAGAAAGAGAATTATTAAACAAACAAGCACTAATGTCTATTTGCCTGTCCCTCTGCATGAATGTCATTTTCAACATCCTTCGCAAGAGCATTACAATATGCACATAAAGGCGTCGTCTAATGTGTATTAAAACCCATTTGTGATCAATCAAAGGGTATATAATGAGGAAATTTTACAATCTCAAGATGTTAAAAAGAGTTACAGTCCCAAATCAGTTTAAGAAGTTCAATTTATCATAAGACAATTGAGCTCTTGAACATGAAGTTTGACGACAATATTCATGCTTTATGTTTACATTCGTCATTGCCAAATAGAGGGACGGCATTGTGACAAATGTCAACATTTCCTATTATTTTTCCACCATGAAACTCAATAGCATTCGATATCTCATCCCGAATGAAAATAACGAACGACGAGAAAGAAAGGATTGTGTATCATTTCATGCTTTAAATGTTGACAACAGGGATAGATTATAAACATAAGAACAACAAAAGAAGGGGCATATCAAAATCACGTGATAACTACCGAAAGTTGAATCAAAATATATGCAAGTATCGAGATCATTGGAGTGGATATTGGCATTATGGTAAGCCTGTCTACATAATGAATCAATGCAAGAAGTAGAAGTCAAAATAAAGTCAAAAGCAAAAGCAAGAGATAGTGAATGATTTTATGGAAGATATTCATAATGCAATGGTACTAATTATAGGCAATCCAATAGAAAAAATGGATATTAAGCTACAATGTATGATTCCATTATTCTTTAACTACTACATGGACAATTATGACAGTGTTCATTATTAATGATGATTTCTTCAATATTGTGAGCACTGGAGAGGTAATAATCAAGATAGTAAATGACTACACTTCAAGGCTAACCAAGTCAGGCTCATCCTTGCCTTAAGAAGAAACTTGATCTTTATCAAACAATAAGTTGCAAAAGAATCCAACGCCACCTTCAATGTCGTTAGATGAAAAATGAGAAAAAAGCTCTTTAATGATTGCTTAGAATAACAAAATAGGCACCAACAAAGGGATGGTGGAAACCATCACTAGTGCAGAAACTAATTAAGATTAATATCACTAAAGACGAGCCATAAGGCGAGAAAGACCTAAAATTCTCCATGCAAGAGATAATATTCAATTTTAAATTCTGTCGAATCCACTAAATGCCCTCTAAAAGAATAAGAATACATAGTGTAGAAAAACAATATATGGGGGATATAAATTAGACTATATATTTTAAGGCATTGATAGTTAAGGAATTATAAAAAGTTGAAAGATTATTTTTATAAATGTGTGTTATGCAGAGACTACTTGTTGCTAGAAGGAACCATCTACATGAAAATAGCGATAGATAACAAACAGGAAACTAAAGAGTAGACTAAGCCCAATAAGCCGGAGGCTAGATCTAGAGTGAGAAGTCAGAAAGAACTCATAAGCTGACTAACATTTGTTATCTTTCAGTTTATTATCTTTCAATTTATTATTGGTTTGTTTATAGCTACAAGAGAGCCCATGTTTTATAAATAGGTCATGCAGGTGAAGAATTTTTTCCAATTGGAGCATGACATGAAATAAAAGATAAACGATCTTTGTAAGAGCAATAAATGTCCACCAACCAAGCTACCTAAATATAACAAGGATTGCAGAACAAGCAGATATACAAAATGAAGAGACAATTAACAGGAATAAAAATATAGAAGGTAAGGCTTATTGTAAATGATATATTTTTTTTTTTTGTAAAAGAATTTAAGCATAAGGACGATTTAGGCTTGACTGAGATATTTTCTCGGGCAATTAAACACACAGCCATGTGATCAATATTTGAGTATTGTAGCAGTAGAAGATCTATACCTTGAGCAAATGAATGTAAAAATAGTTTTTCTTCATGGAAATTTGAAGAAAGACATCTACATGTAGTAACTTAAATTTTTTATTGAACTTCAAAAACAAAGCCTCGTGTACAAACTAAATGAATCTTTCCTGATTTAGAAATAAGTATCTCATCAATAGTACTAAGAAATTAATATAATAATGTGGAAGGTCTTTTGAAAAGGCAACATCAACAGTTGTTTTTATGCTAATGGAGCAAGAAAATTTAGTATTAATCTAATATTGTATGGATAAAATATTACTTGTAGGGTTGGCAATCAAAAAGTCAACAAATTGAAAAAATAAGCTATCAAAGGAGTTTGACAAGAAATATTTTAGAGAAAAAAATGATATTTCAGGTAGAAGAATAAATTGCACCAAAGTGACAGGTACCTTGTGTTTTATAATCAATATGATAAAAGCAATGAGATTCAATATGACAGACAGAGACTATAAACCATTACTTGCTATCCCCTTTAGATTATCTAATGAAAAAAATTCCTAAAACTAAACAGGAAAGGGAGAACACGACCACAGTCCCCTATGCTTCAGCTATTGGATGTTGAAACACTCGTGTGTGTGTGTGTGTGTGTGTGTGTGTTATTTACACATTATCAGACACTACACTGTAGCAATAATCAACAAAACAATCTTAATTTGAAAAACAAAATGTTACTATGAAGTGAATTTTGCACTACATAAAGGTAGATTCAACTATTCTCTAACGTTTAAAATGATTACCTTAAACCTATAGTTTTTCATTGATTCAAACCTTGGTGGAAACTTCGATGCAAGAAAGAGCATCATTGGGTAAATCTATAGTCTAGGCAGCACTGTAATCAATTTATATTGCAACTACAGAAGATAGTTGCACCAACAACTACAAAAGCTAAATGTACAGCTATCACTGATGCCAACAACTAGATAGTTATACTTGAAAGGTTTTGGAGTCACTAAAAATTTCACAAGGTTTTGCACACTTTTGTGATAACTAAAGTGTCATTTACTAAGAACACTGCCATCTAGTCTCAAACAAAGCAAATAACACAAGTAACACCAAAGACGCAATTTGCTTCAAGGAGGTGTAATATAGCTCGACAAAATTAAGGAGTTAACAAAATCCCACTGAAATGCTCACAAAGATGGTATAAGCAAAAGAGCTTGAGCTTCACATAGCCTTAATTAACCTTTGTAAATGATGATATGAAGGGATTATACAAAGAAATTCAGACAAATACCACTAAACAAACATTTCAAAAATACTATCTCCAAATGAGATATTATTAAAGTTGCTATAATAACAAGATTGTTTTCCATATCAAATATCTACAAGACATAATTAAGGATTTGACAAAATCCCATAAAAAAGGAGTTGAAAAATCCCATTGAAATGCTCACAAAGATGTTATAAGCAAAGATTAATTAAGAAGTTAACAAAATCCCATCGAAATGCTCACAAATATGGTATAAGCAAAAATGATTATAAAGTGCCATTGCACAACCAAATTCGGACATAGACCACTAAGCAAACACCAAATGGGATATTACTCATGTTGCTACAACAACAACAACAACAAAGCCTTAATCCCACTACGTGGGGTTGGCTACATGAATCCTTTTTCTCCATTGCGTCCTATTTAGTGTCATATTTTCATTTAGTTCTAGTAAATTAAGATCATTTTTAATACAATAAGCCCAAGTCTTCCTAGGTCTACCTCTGCCTTTCTTAACACAACGAGAATCTAAAACATTTACTGTCCTAATCGGATCATCAGATGGTCGACGTTTAATGTGACCAAACCATCTAAGACGACTTTCTCTAATTTTGTCCGTCACAAGAGCTACACCAACCCTATCACGAATATATTCATTTCGCATTTTGTCTCTAAGTGTAAAGTCACTCATCCACCTGATCATTCTCATTTCGACAACGCTCAGCTTATTAATATGTTTCTCTTTTAAAGGCCAACATTCAGCGTTATATAATATTACAGGTCTCACCACCGTCTTATAAAATTTTCCTTTCAGTCTAAACAGTATTTTTCTATCACACAAAACGCTAACATGATACGTGCCAAAAAAAATTAAAATATTAAACTACCAATATGGTTCCTAAAAAATACTAAAGAATATGATATAACTAATCGCTAAATGAAAAGATGAATAAAGCGTAAAAACAAACAACACACACTGTATGTCCATATCAATGTACAATCTCCTAAAATAAAATTATCCCAAATAATTTAAATATTAGGTGTTATGAATTATGTAATTTTAAATTTAACAGCATAAATACCAAGTTTTAAAATTCTAGTCTTTTTAATTTAAACTGCATCAATAGCTCTTTCAAATATTGAAGCAATTTTACTCGCTTTATATGACTTATTATTTTGCATATCAAGAATAAAAGAATTAAAAATAAAATCAATTTAGCTCTAATCATTCAACATAGAATAATATCAATATGTAATATCTTAATTCTTTTATCAATTAGCTCAATTGATTTATCAACTTTAATCAGTATGATTTATGAGATTTCACAATTAGCAATAATTTTATTTCAATCATAAATTTAAATCAAATATGCTCATCTGCTTATCTTCGATTTCAAACAAATTTTGACTCAGAGATAGGTTGAGGTTCATAAGCAAGTCCTAAGTGCAAAACAAATTTAAATTCAACAAATATAGATATAAATTTAGATTTAATGGTAAATCATCTTTAATATATAATTCAACATAAAAAAAGGTTGAATATGATGGTTTCTTCAATATAATCAAATTCAAATATGCATGATTCTTATGTTGGTATATATTTGATAGATTTTAGTAAATTTACTGATGATTAATTAATATTTCATTAGAATGATCGGCATAACAAATTGTTTATCTTACACCTCATCCTTAGTCATATTTATTTTTTATCGTTCTTCATTATATTTAATCCCAGTTATCTTCAAACTTTTAATTAAAAATCATAAATAAAAATATTAAATAAAATAATAACTACGTTGATAGTTAGAACTTCAACTATAAAACTTTTTATGTATACCTTTTACTCCTATTTTTTTGTTATTTAGAGGTATATTGGCAATTAATATTACTTTTAGCTTTCTTAAAATAAATTATGAAGTCTAAAAAACTTGAGGAGTTTTTTTTTTTTTTTTATCACAAGGTGCAGGTGAGTCCCAACCTAAGTGAGGCACCTTATCCTAGGATAATGAGACATAGGCTTCATTGCGATTTTTTGTAAAAAATACTAAGGTGGGCTTCATGATGTGCCTCATATTATGCAATTTTAAATAAAACCCATCTACATTTAATGAATATGAATTTACTTCTACGTTAGATAATGTTATAAACCTAAACTCACACTTGATCAAAAGTAAAAGTTTGGCTCTTAAATAGAAATTAAGCGCATGTCTAAATTTAAATTTTCAAGAAAAATTAAATCAATTACTGGTATTCTTTATTTTAAAACTTTTAATCTTAAAATTTAGAATTAATAAACGATGTTGGGTACTTAAATTTTCAATTGGAATGATTTTACAATCTTTACAATCGTGACGATCTCTTCTTCTCATAAGAAAATAATCAATTTGCGTTTTATTAGATTAAGTAATAAGATGTTCATCTCTTTTCTTGAATAAAGTATTAATAATAACAAAATCATACGCTAAAGCAAAATCTAAAATAACTATAGTTTCTTCATTAATTACTCCAAAACCGTAGCCACCATGAGTATTTCTGAAGTTTTATACCACTCTACCGACATGTCCATTTACATCTCCTCCAATAAAAATTTGTTCTTCAAGAGGTATCATCTATATTAAATTTTCTAAGTCATTCCAAAATTCATCTTTAGACCTTGTATCTAAACCTACTTGAGGAGCATAAACACTGATAATATTAAAAATCTTAGTATCAATGATAAGCTTAAGGGCTATAATTCTATCTCCAACTCTATTAATTTTTACTCTATTAATTTTTACAACATTATTTTTCAAACTCTTACCTATAATTACACCTACACCATTTCTAGTGTCACTCTTACCAGAATATCAAAGTTTAAAACCTTTATCAATCTCCTTAGCCTTTCTCCAACCCATGTTTCTTGAATACATAAGAAATTAATTTTCCTATGAATCATACTATCAACTAATTTCATTGATTTACCATTGAGAGTACCTATATTGCAATATCCTATCATAATATTAGTTTCATTAGTTTCATGGACTAACTTCTTTACCCGCATTCGTTTGTAATGTGGTAACTCTTGCTTATTTAACACTACACCCGCATTCGTTCGAAATGTGGGAACCCTTGCTTATTTAAAGCTATACCCGGGTGCCGGTGTAGCGGCCCTTGCACACTTTTTCACTGGATTCAGGCTATACAACACGTCGTTTCCACGGGACGCCCTAGCACTTACACAATGATCAAATAAGCAAATTATTTTCCATATCAAATTTCTACAAGATATAATTGATATCTCATAATATTACAAATATTGGACTGTGATTTGCAAAGATATAATTAAATAAAAATAATGAGCCATAAATACTTTATTGAATTTAAGGGGTTGTTTGATTTGCTGAAAAAAAATGCAATGTATAAGCAATATATTATATTTGAACTTTTTTAAAGTTATTTGGTTTTGAGTAAAATAAATGTAGTTCACATTTTTTTGAATGATTTGAAGAAAAATAAAATCAATATAAAATACGTTACTACTGGGCAATAGCGGTGGAGCCGACAAAAGATAGCAGTGGCGGTGAGTAGGTTGCGGCAGTAGTGATCGACCACCGGCAGCGACGGAAAATGATAGGCTGCAAGTGGAGCGTGGTGGCCGACAACAAGCATCACTTTATACAAAACAATGTATTTAGAATGCTCAAATTCAATACATTATAAATATATTAAAAAAGAAATAGATAATGAATTTGAATGCATTCTAATTTTACACGGGATTTGGAATTCATTTGACGAAGCATCTAGATTTCTAAAACTCTTGCGAAAAAAATACAGTGAACTCATGTTACAGCAAATGAAATAGCCTTAAAAAAGATTGTAAAACTTGAGTTTTATAATAATTTCTATGTTTTCAAGCCAAAGATATGTTTTCACTATAACTAGAGCCTTGGAATGAAAAGTTTGACTTCCCATAACAAGAAACAAACATAAATAAGGCAGAGAAGGGAGAATAAATACAATCAAGAAAAAAAGGATTATTTTTTTGGGTGCTTATAAGGGAAGATCTTTACTTTTTCAAGAGGGAATAGGTGCTAAAATTTTCAATTCCAACAAGAGAATAAGTTCATCGGCATAGCAGGGAGAAGTTCTAAGTTGAACTCTTTGCAATAGACGGGGAAAGAAGTAAGCAAAATAACAATGTCTTCTTCTCCAAGCCTAATGTTTGTATTCGCAATAAATATTGCAATTTCTCAGTCACTGAAATACACAAATTAATATCGCTATCATTATGCTTAACATTATATGAAATGCAATTTCATATAAATCTTTCAAAGTCTGATTAAATCATTTGATCTATGTGAGGAAAAAGGTATAGATGGATGACACATAACCACATAAATTTGTTTGTTTTGTGCTTATGCTTGCGCCTTCATTTGATTCTTCATCAAAGTTTTTATTAGTTATTACTATCATTTGATATCTAATAATGAGCTTTTGGTTTAAATCTTTGCAAAAAAAAAATAATAATAATAATAATAAAATAAAAAACACAAAAAACAACGCCACCTAAGCTACTACTTACAAATTTTTTTCAGAAATTCAAACCCTCGTGTTAATTTGAGAAGGGGCAAATCTAACAGACAACACTGAACTCTGCACATGCACTTAATATAAGAAAAGTGTTAAAATGTTCCCTAACTCCTTGCAGAGAGTCGTGTTAATCCCAAAGTCTATACAAGTGCCAATTTATTCCCTGTATTTTCGTGATATGTGCATAAATAGTCCCAGTTGAGGACTACTTTAGCCCCAATTTAAATAGTTTGGGGTCTAATTTGATACTTTTATAAATTATGGGGCTACAATGACCTCATTAAACAGGCAAGGGACTATTTTAACACTTCAGTCCACTTAATATTAACAATGTTCGACATAGTAGCAACCATAAAACAAAATCTAAACCACAACAATAATCATCAGGAAACCTCTCACCCCTACAACCACTTGGATCCACTTTGGGCTCTTCACGTGTCTCTGAATGAATGGAAACCCTGAAGGGAATGCACAGAGCTACATCAAAAGAATAATCCACATCGGCCTCACTTCTACATATTCAAAACAAAATTCAAAAACACCATACCCGTGTTGAATCCGTGAACTGCACTCAGCATGGCGCCAATGCCTGAACCAGCCTATTCAACAACAAAACCATAAAGCTAAATTCAGAAGAATCTCAGATCACCCGATAAAAGAGTAATGTATATAATAGCATATTAGCATTCAAGAATAGATATCCTAAGGAATCTCGTGTACCACGGCAGTGGCGTCGTGCAGAACCGAAGCAATAGTCCATTTCTCTTCCTGCAGCATCACAGCAAAACCCGGAATTAATGCACCAATATTAAATAAAGACAATGAAAAGATATTACAGTCAAACAAGATAGTAGCAGAAAGCGAGAGAGACCGAATTAGGGTTCACGAGGGAGAGGCATCGAGGGCAGCGAGCGGAACCGAGACCGGGGTTAATGGTGGGATCGTGGTAGAGATTGCCGGAACGGAGCTTCTCCTCGTATACTTCTCTGGTTCCCATGGCCTTCCAGCCCTCCGCTTCTCCTGGCCGC